AAGGCTGGCCCCTCTGAGTTCTGAGGTGGGGACAACAGGAACCTGCCACCTGGAGATCTTTGCAATACAAACGGTCCATGTGGGACTGCGTGAGAGAAGGAGCAGCTGAGCAGGGCGGAGGCAGGGAGGGACAAGCCTTGTCCCGGCTTCTGGCTGGTCCTGACACCTCAGTTTCCCCTCCACAGATTGGAAGGGGACTTAGGAGTGGGTTCTCCCATTCCGGGTGCAGTGAGGCCTATAGAGGAGGCTGGGGGCAGGGCCATAGGGTCTGGGCACTATCTCCGCCCACACCCCCATGGCTTCCCTTCACTCCTGCCCTCATAACCCAACCCTTCCCTAGCCTGCAAAGCCCTGTAGGTCTGGGCCCTGTTCACTTCTCTGACCTCAGCTTTTCCCGTGGCTCCCTCTCTCACTCCAGTCAAGCCTGCTCCTGCCTCAGGACCTTTGCACCCACTGTGCCCTCTGCCTGGGAGGCTCCTGGCCGACACCTCTCCTGCTCAGGTTGTAGGACAATTGTCAGGGCTTCTCCGTCTGAAGCAGTACCCCTCCCCCACCCAGCCTCCAACCTCCTGCGCGGTCAGCACCTTCACGACCCGTCCGCAGCTGGGATTTCCTTGTGCATAGGTCTCCCTCCCTGACTCCTGCAGGTTCAGACGGGACTTGTCTTGCTCACAAGTGCACCCTCAGTCTCTACACACAGTAGGTGCTCCATCAATATTTGCTGATATGACTAAATGCTGCCCCCCGTGGCCAGCACTGGGATAGCGGAAAGGAGCCTGTGGGTACCTTCTGCTGCCTGCAGGGGCAGGTCTTCAACAAACCCCAGAGCGGGGCGGCCCCAGCTGTGGGTGATTCTTAACAAGCCGGAGACGGCAGGAGAAGGGCCCGAAGTGCGGCCACCCACGCGGCGCCGGGCCTCCCAGCGCCCGCCCGGGGTGTTGGCGCCCCCTGGTGGAGCGTCCCAGGTCACAGCCTGCAGGGCCGGTGGCCCCGGCTGTGTTGCAGGCTCGGCCTGGGCGGGCCCAGACCCGGCCAGGGGATACTGCCCCTGGCTCCTGCTGGCCGATTGGAGCCTGTCCTGGAGCCACGCGGTGGCGACCCCTTGCCTGTCCTCGGGGCCTGACCTCCAATCCTCCAGAGGTGAGGGGGTTCACTCCCCCCAGCCCATTGCCAAGAGCGCTGGGACCTTCCCTTCCAGGCCTGAGAGCAACAGGACAGGAGACCTAGCACCGGCCCGGCCTGCCCGGCCAAGACAGACAGATTGGGAGAGACAGGCACGTTCACAGGCAAAAAGACACACACAGAGGCTGAGAAAGGCCGGGAAGCATGGAAGGTGAGGAGTGTGGTCAGAGAGGGAGGAGGAGAGAACTCCAGAGGAGGGACAGAAAAGCCCGGGGGAGGGCTCCAGGGAGATGGAGAGCCCACATCTGACTGAAGACAGTGATGGCGGAGAGGCCAAGCCGCAGAGTACTGGAGGCGAGGGGCTGGGGCCCCTGGAGGCACCTAGGCCGACAGGCCAGGTGCCCCAGCCTGTGCTCAGGGCTGCCCTGTCCTCCCAGGAGGCTACGTGGTGCACGTGCACGGGTGGTACTGGGCAAGGGAGGGTGCCCCTGGGTGTCTGGTCTCACTGCCTTTTGCAGCCCCCACATGCCCACAGGTAACTAGACTTCTGGTGACATCGCTGGCTGCCTGCAGCTGGCCCTGGGCAGTGCTGCTGCCGGGAGCAGGCCTGGCCCGAAAGGGTGCGGTTCCAGGGCCCCTACGGACCAGGCTCAAACCCCGGCTTTGCCACTTACTTGTTCTGTGAGCGTGGCGTCAGGGAGCCTCGGTTTCCCCCTGTGCTGCCTTCTTACCCCAGCTTTACCACCGAGGTCCCTGAGGCTCAAATCAGACAGGGGGTCTCCACACAGTGGGATGTATTGTTTTTATTTTTATTTTTCCATTTTATTTTTGGTGGTGGTTGTTAATCCTCCCCCCCTAGGATATTTTTCCATTGATACTTTTTTTTTTTAATCCTCACCCGAGGATATTTTTCTCTTTATCCTCAGATAGAGTGGGCGGGAGAGAAAGGGAGAGAGAGAGAGAAACATCGACATGAGGACACATCAATTGGTTGCCTCCTGCACGACCCCAACCAGGGCCAGAGACAAACTGCAACCGAGGTACATGCTGTTGACCAGAATCGAACCCGGGCCAACGCTCTACCACTGAGCCAAACCTGCCAGGGCTTTTTCCATTGGTTTTTAAAGAGTGGATGGGAGGGAGAGAGAGAGAGACATCAATTGGTTGCCTCCCACACACAGGCCCTGACTGAGACCAGGGGTCGAAACTGCAACCCAGGTTTATGCCCTTGATCGGGAATCGAACCCTTGACCTTCTGGTGTGAGGGCCAGCGCGCTAACCACTGAGCAGGCTGTATTGTTTTTGTTTTTGTGTTTTGCATTTCTCTTGAGATGGAGCGGGAGGGAGAAAGGAGGAAGAGAGAGAGAAAAATTGATGTGAGAGAGACACATTGAGTGGTTGCCACCCACACGACCCCAATAGGGGCCGGAGACAAACTACAACGGAGATACATGCCCCTATCGGGAACCGAACCTGGGACTCTCTGGTCCACGGGCTGACGCTCTAACCGCTGAGCCAAAGCGGCCAGGGCCAGGCTGTATTGTTTTTGTTTTGGTGTTTTGCATTTCTCTTGAGATGGAGCGGGAGGGAGAGAAGGAGGAAGAGAGAGAGAGAAACATTGATGTGAGAGAGACACATTGAGTGGTTGCCACCCACACGACCCCAATAGGGGCCGGAGACAAACTACAACGGAGATACATGCCCCTATCGGGAACCGAGCCTGGGACTCTCTGGTCCGCGGGCCGACGCTCTAACCGCTGACCCAAAGCGGCCAGGGCCAGGCTGTACTGCTTTTCATTTCACCACGTTCCACGTGTTGGTGTGGCCGCGGCATGTTCACACCCAGCGGCTGTCGTTTCAGAGGGAACCCGAGTTCCCTTCTGTCCCAGCCAGCCCCGGTTTCCCACCATAGTCCCTTCATAATGTGCTGCTGCTAATCGGCAGGGTCTCGTAGGGCAGATGGATGGTGAGGATACGTAGAAACAGGACCCTTTAGTAGCTCGCGACAGTGAGAGCTTTCAGGAAGCCCTTCCTGGTCCTCTTCCCCCCACGCGGGTGGCGTCCCAGCTCTGCCGCTGTGACTTCGGGTGACTGTGCACCCTGACCTCAGCGAGTGGCCTGGGCACCGGGGGCCTGCCCCTGGACATGTCCTTACTGTTCTGTCTCTCTGCCGCCTCCTCTCCTCGCCTGCGGAGGCTGAACACCAGCCCCCAAGGACACTCAGGTCCTAACCCACAGGAACCGTGAATGTGTCGCCGTCCATGGGAAAGGAGCTTTGCAGGTGTGTCTCAGTGCAGGCTGTCAAGTGGACGAGGCGATCCTGGTGACCCAGGGGCCCCCAGGGTCATCCTCATAAGAGGGAGGCAGGATGTTCCGAGTCAGAGGAGGACATGGGATGATGGAGGCAGAGGTCGGATGACCCGATGTGAAGATGGAGGAAGGGCCACCAGCCAAGGAACTGGGTGCCTCTAGAAGCTGGAGAAAGCAACCTCCCGTCTCCCCTTGGAGCCTCCAGAGGAAACACCTTGATTTTAACCCACAGGACCCACCTGGACTCCTGACCTGCAGAACCACGAGAGAGTGAAGGAGCAGTCTTTTTTTTTTTTTTCCAATATGTCTTTATTGATTTTTTAGAGAGAGAGTAACATGAATGGGTCGCCTTCCTGCACGCCCCCTACTGGAGATCAAGCAGGCAACCTGGGCACGTGCCCTGTCCGGGAACCCAACAGGCCCTTTCAGTCCATGTGACGGTGCTCGACCCACTGAGCCACACGGGCCAGGCTGCAGGAGCATTCTTTCAGCCACTAGGTTGTTACTACAGCCATAGGACACTCGTACACCTCCAGCAGTCCCCTCCCTGCAACGCCGAGGGCCCTGGCCACTAGCCAGCACACTTGGCCAACCCGCCAGAGGAGAGGACCCCACTGCCCTCCGAGCCCCGGGGGTCAGCCCCTCCACCTGCCAGCCCAGCCATTCTCTGCCTCCCCAAACACTAGGGACCCGAGTCCCTCAGCAAAATGCCTCAGGGGAAACTGAGCCCCGTGTTTTCTCCTCCCCTCCGGCCACAGCCAGACTGAGCCCGAAACAGCCCCCAGCGCCACCCACCCGAACCACCAGGCCCAGTCTGCAGTGCCCCTCCCTTCTCTCCGCTCACTGGCTGCGCTTTGGCGTGAAATGCAGGGTGTAGGGGTCAAACCCCACGAAGTCGAGTATTCCTGGTGGCTGGAGACCTTGGGCACAATGAGCCCCTCTCTGGGCCTCAGTTTCCCCAGGATGCTGGGCCTGGGGCAGAGGGAGGCAGGAAGACATGGCAGCTGTGAGGCTCTCGTGCTGTGTCCCCCTCCCTCCCGGCCTGCACCCAAGCCTCCCACCGCCCCCCCCCTCCAATTAAGGGCCCTCAACGCTAACCGCTGCGGTTGACTCAGCTCCTGGCCTCGCATCCCAGCGGAGGCCTTTGTCACCTTAATTGGCAATCTCCAGGCACTATTTCCCTGCCCCCCACCTGCGCCACCCTGACCATATCCCAGGTCCAACTATGTGCTAATTGGGTCCCTGGGGTGCACAGAAAGCCCCCTCCCCAGCCCACCCCCTGCCTTCATATATCAGCCCCCACCTACTGTCCCTCAAACCTCGGGGTCCAGCTCCCAGGTCGCAGGGACCAGGAGGGCACAGGACAAGGTAGCGCCCAATTCTGGGAGCCCTATGCCCCCTTCTGTCCAGAGTCCAGCTGCCCCTCCCAAAGGCCGTCCCCCATCGTCCTCCTCCGCAGCCCCGAGCCAGCCCTCAGCCCTGGCTGCCCCTCTCTCCTCACAGATTTGGGGGGCTGCTTTCTGATCAACAGGAATATAGCGGAACGTTGCCCCCAGGTCACCCAGGCCATGCACCCCGGGGCCCCCACAGCCGCTGGAGTCTCCGAGCCCAGCCCCCGGGAGCTGTGTGCCTTTGTGAGCGGGGCAGCCGTCCACATGCTGCGCACCTTGCACCCCCGGCGGACCCGGCCCCCCAAGAGGAGACCCAACCACAGGAGGTTCCTGCACAACCAGATCTGCAGGTGAAGGGGCAGGGGCAGGGGGAGGGGCGGGGAGGGGCTGCAGCCCCAGGTCTGTGGCCTCCAGGGCTGGATGCAGTCAACACTCCGCGTCAACCGCCCGGCCGGAGACCCAGCACGGGGCACAGCAGAGCACACCCCCAGCCTTTGCCAGCCAGCAAATGGTACATGTGACGCCACAATGTGGATGAAGCTTGAAAACAAGAACCGGCCAACCCACAGCCCCAGGAAGCAGATCGGTGGCTGGCAGGAGCTGGGGGACGCGATTGCTCCTGAGGACAGGGTTTCCCAACATTTGGGGGGGGTTGCCCAACATTGCAAATGTGTGAACCACCGCCGAACTGTGCGCTTCACAATGGCTCATTTTAAGTTACGCACATTTCGGTTCGATGTTTTAAATGACCGGGGATGCTAGGAGGTGGTCAGTGCGTGGAGGGTGTGCTGGGGAAGGGCTGGCGCTTTAGGTCAGGTGTCCCTGGGGAGGTGCACAGCTGAGCGGGGGCCTGGGGCCTGGGGCACACTGGGAAGGAGCCCTGTGGGTGGCTGAGGGGGGTGTTCCCAGGGCACAGCGAGTGCAAAGGCCTGAGCAGGAACAGTGGAAGGTGGGGGGGCGGGACTAGGGCTTGAAAGAGTCAGGGACCTGCCCTGGCTCAGCGGTTAGAGGGTTAGAGCCTTGGCCCACCGACTGGGGTTGCAGGTTCGATTCTGGTCAAGGGCACATACCTGGGCTGAGGGGACCATGCAGCAGGCAGCCAGTCGATGTGCGAGAGACACATCGATGTTTGTCTCTCTCTACCCCTCCCTCCCATTCTATCTGACAATAAATGGGAAAATAGCCTCAGGTGAGAATTAAAAAAAAATAAAAAATTGTCAGGGACCTGATCGGAGACCTCGTGGGCCTCCGGAGGGACCTCAGCTCTGAGCGGACCTGAGAGAATCCCTCTGGCTGCTGAGAGGAGAACAGACTGTGTAGGGGGCAGGGGTGGAAGGGAGAGATCAGGAGAGGGGTGATGGCAGCTCGGACCAGGGTGGGGGCCAGAGCCAGGTCCGGCTGTGGGGCTTTTCAAAGGCAGAGAGGAACTTGCTGTTCCCAGACAGGACTTTCTAACCCACAGGCCACATTTGGCCCCTCTCCTGCTCCAGGGCCTCCCATGGCTCCCCATTGCCCTCACAACAAAGGCTTGGCCCCATCAACCCCTGCTCCCATCTAGCTCTCTGTCCCTCAGACGGTGGGCCTTTGCACATGCAGTGTTCCTGGCATACGGCAAGTGCTCAAGCAATGGTTACTGTCGCTGGGTGAGGGGAGAGCACAGGTGGGCTGGGGGGGGGGGAGTGTGAGGCGCGGCAGGCCTGAGCAGAGACCCCAAGGAGTAGAGGTCCCCAGTCACACTCCCAGAGACAGCACGACAAGGCAGTTGTCTGTTGCAGAGGTTCTCAAAGGGGGTCCCTAGACCAGGGCATCACACCTCAGCACCTGACTGGGGACATGTCAGAAACACAGATTCTGCTCTGGCTGGTTTGGCTCAGCGGTTAGAGCGTCGGCCTGCGGTCCAGAGAGACCCGGGTTCGGTTCCCGCTAAGGGCATGTACCTCGGTTGCAGTTTGTCCTCGGCCCTGGTTGGTTGTGCGGATGGCAGCCACTCGATGTGTCCCTTTCACATCGATGTTTCTCTCTCTCTCTCTTCCTCTCTGGCTGGGACAGAATAGAACTCAGGTTCTCTCTGAACAAAAAATGGAAAAATGTCCTCGGTTGAGAGAAAGAAGAAAGAAAGATAGGTTGATTCTCAGACCCCAAATCAGATCTGCAGAACCAGAAACTCAGGGGTGGGGGCCCCGTGTTTTCACAAGGGCTCCAGGAGTTCTGTGGAGAACCCCAACCTGATGGCCACTCACACACATACCATCACTGAGATTCATCTTAGCATTTTTCTTTCATCTGCGTTTTTTAAATAGTTTAAAGCACATTGCAAATGTCATGGCTCTTCAGCCCTAATGGTATCTGTGCTTAGTTTGTTCAAGTCGGGGGCTGTACATAGCGTACAAGGTTGTGAATCTTAACCCTCTCCCTCTGTCTCTGTCTCTCTGTCTCTGTCTCTCTGTCTCTCCCTTCCTCCCTCCCTCTCTCCTTCTCTCCCTCGGTAAAAATCAATGGAAAAAATGTCCTCAGGTGAAGATTAACAACAACAAAAAGACGGTGTCAGAGTCACAGCTCTCACTAATTTACTTAAGAGTCATATATATATATATATATATATTTTTTTCTTGTGGCAAAATACACAGAACAAAACATTTTCCACTTTATTTATTTAAATATTTTTCTTTTTTATTTTTCTTTTATTTTGTTATGTATTTACATTTTTGTAAATGCTTTTATTTATTTATTTTTAATTTTTTTCCTTTATTGATTTTAGAGAGAGAAATAGAAACATTGATGAGAGAGGACATCGATTGGCTGCCTCCCGCATGCTTCCCCCCCACCCTGGGGATTTGGCCCACAACCTGGGCATATGCCCTGACCGGGAATTGAACTGGTGACTTCTTGGTGCATGGGTTCGACACTCAACCACTGAGCCACACCGGCTGGGCTATTTGTTTTTTCTTTCTTGATTTTTAGAGAGAGAAAAAGGGAGAGGTAGAGAGAGACAGAAACATTGATGAGAGAGAACATCGATTGGCCGCCTCCTGCATGTCCCCTGCTGGGGATTTGGCCCACAACCTGGACGTGTGCCCTGGCTGGGAATCAGACCATCGACCTCCTGGTGCAGAGGTCAATGCTCAACCACTGAGCCCCACCGGCCGGGCCAACATTCTCCACTTCAACCATTTACAGTGAACAATCCAGTGGCATTTCGTGCATTCACAGTGTTTTGCAACATCACCTCCATCTGGCTCCAGAACATTCTTATCACCCCCAGGGGACCCTGTACCCATTACCAGTCCCTTCCCCTTCCCTTCCCCTCCGCGCTTGGCAAATACTCATCGGCTCTCTGTCTCCAGGGATTTCCCTGTTCTGAACATTTCCTTTCAGGAGAATTACACACTATCGGGTATGTGTTCGTGGAAGATGCACACACATGCAAAAACAGCACACACACTGACAGTGTGAAGACAGGGGGGAACTTTCTCAAAGGGAACCTATGACCGCGACTGACCCTGGGATCCAGGGACAGAGCGTCCCCTGCCCCCAGGCTCACTGCTGCTCCTTCCCATCAGCCGCCACCTGATCGCTCTCTTTGCCCCTCTGATTAGCCGATTTCTGAACTTTCCTTCAATGAGGTCCCACGGCTGCTAACTGTGGGTCTCACTGCCTTCGCGCGCGTTATGCTTGGGCATTACTTTGCCAGAACGGCCGTAATGAAACACCCCAGACCGGGCGGCTTGCACAATGGACATTTGCTCTCGCACCAGGCTGCAGGCCGGAAGTTTGAGATCAAGCTGTGGGCAGGTGCCCCGTGTCCTCACACCGTTCTCCCTCTGTGTCCTGACACCAGGCCCACTGGGCTAGGAACCACCCTAACGACATCATTTTAACTTCATCGCCGCTTAGAAAACCCCGTCTCCAAATACAATCACATTCTGAAGTACTGGGGTTAGGAAGTCAACATGTGGATTTCAGGGGGTCACGGTTCAGCCCATCGGGACTTGTGCGACCCATTAGAATTGTCAGGGGGGAGAGCAGTCCCTCATCCAGGCGGGAGGAGCTGGAGACTCCAGTTAGCGGAGGGTGGAGGTGCTCAGTGGTGAGCAGATTCCGAACTGTCGTTCAGTAGGGTCACCCCATGCAGGCCCCAGCTTGAGCCTCGCTGCACTGGGTGCCTCCACCTTGGAGTCAAGGCTAAGAGGAAGCAGAACCCACAGGGCATCACTGTGATAGACGTACTGCTAGCCCACAGCGCACATCTGTATGAGAGATCTTTTCATTTACTCATTTACTTTTTGGTACATGCCTCTAGTGGGAACCGAACCCGGGACTCTCTGGTCTGCAGGCCAACGCTCCAACCGCTGAGCCAAACCTCTTTTATTTGTTTTATTGTTTGCTCTTTTTATTGTTTTACTTATTTGCTCTTTTTATTGTTTTATTTTTTTTTATCCTCACCCGAGGACATTTTTCCATTTTTTGTTCAGGTAGAGTGGGAGGGAGAGAGAGGAACAGAGAGAGAGAGAGAGAAACATCGATGTGAAAGGAACACATCGAGTGGCTGCCACCCGCACAACCAACCAGGGCCGGGGACAAACTGCAACCGAGGTACGCGCACTTAGCGGGAACCGAACCCGGGTCTCTCAGGACCGCAGGCCGACGCTCTAACCGCTGAGCCAACCGGCCAGGGCTCTTTTTATTGTTTAAAAAAAAATTTCTTTTCTTGCCCTGGCCGGTTTGGCTCAGTGGGTGGAACGTCGGCCTGCAGTCCAGAGAGACCTGGGTTCGGTTCCCGCGAAGGGCATGTACCACGGTTGCAATTTGTCCCTGGCCCTGGTTGGGATCGTGTGGGTGGCAGCCACTCGATGCGTCCCTTTCACATCGATGTTTCTCTCTCTTCCTCGCTCTCTCCCTCCTACTCCATCTGAGAAAAAAAAGAAAAAGAAAAAGGAAAAAAATTTTTGTATTTTTTTTTATCCTCACCCGAGGACATTTTTTTCCATTTATTATTCAGATAGAGTGGGAAGGAGAGAGAGGAAGAGAGAGAGAGAGAGAAACATCGACGTGAAAGGGACACATTGAGTGGCTGCCACTCGCACAACCAACCAGGGGCGGGGACAAACTGCAACCGAAGTACATGCCCTGAGCGGGAACAAAACCTGGGTCTCTCTGGACCACGGGCCAACACTCTAATCGCTGAGCCAAACTGGCCAGGGCAAAATTTCTATTCTTTATTGATTTTAGAGAGAGAGAGGAAGGGAGTGGGAGAGAGAGATAAAAACATTGATGAGAGCCCTGGCCAGTTTGGCTCAGCGGTTAGAGCGTCAGCCCACAGACCAGAGAGTCCTGGGTTCGGTTCCCACTAAGGGCACATAGGTTGCAGTTTGTCCTCAACCCTGGTTGCGGGCGTGTGGGTGGCAACCACTTGATGTGTCTCTCTCACATTGATGTTTCTCTCTCTCTCTTCCTCCCTCTCTCCCTCCCACTCCACCTGAAGATAAATGCAAAAATGTCCTCGGGTGAGGATTAAAAAAAAAAAAAAAAAAAATGGATGAGAGAGAACATCAATTGGCCGCCTCCTGCATGCCCCCCACCGGGGATCGTGCCCACAACCTGGGCATGTGCCCTGTCTGGGAACCGGCAACCTCTTGGTGCAGGGGTTGCTGCTCAACCACTGAGCCACACTGGCCGTGCTGCGTGAAAGAAGTTTTTAAAGGCATCCTTTCCTTTTTACTGTTTTATATTTGAACGCGGTCATAATACATCTAAACGTCAAAAAATGTGCCTGGTGTTGGACGAGACGCCCTGTTGGTGCACGAACCCCACGGCTGTCCAGAGCGTCCCTCCTGATAGAGTCGCAAATACTGAATTGTCGGGCTCAAGAAGTGGACCCGGGGCAGGGAGACCAGCTTAGAGAGGAAAAATGAGGAGGGCAAGGAGGGACAAATCACTTCCGGGATGAAAGACAGGGACGCTGTCACGGTCACCCAGCTGATGCCCGTCTCTCCACAGGCAGTTTGCCAGGATCGAGGCTGCCACCCAGCGCCTGGCCCTGTCCATCCTTTCCCAGGAGGTGCCTCCGCGGAGACCATCGCCTCAAAGACCACCCCCACCACCTCCATCCCCCTTCCTGGGGGTGGCCCGGGCTGTGGCCCCCACTGAGGCACCCCATGCAGGCCCCAGCTTGAGCCTCGCTGCACTGGAGGCCTCCACCCTGGACCTCTTTGATAGCATCGCACTGACCCCAGAGCATCCCTCAGTGCCCTATGACCTGCCCCATCACGCAGTGGGCCAGCCAGACCTCAGGCAGGCCCTTCATTCCCATGATCCCATGCCCCTGCCCCAGCATGCCCTGGGAGGAGGAAATGAGCTCTTGGCTCCTGAGGGGGCCTGGGTGGGCAGGTGGGAGATACCTTGTGCTCACCATTTTCAGGGGGTCCCTGAGGGATGGGGGACCTGCTTCCCATGACACCCAATCACAACCCAGCTCAGGCCCGGGATAAACCAGAGGCATCCCTCTGACCTCACCCTCTGCCAGGAGCTCCCCCCAACTCTTCTGGCAACTTCTGGGAAAATGACCCCAGCCCACACTCCTACCTGAGCCCAGGGCCTCACTCCACCTCTTCCAGGCTGGCCTCCTCGTGTTCTCTCTCTCTCCCCCACCTTCTCCCTTTATTCTTCCCAGCCCCCTCTCCTCAGAGTCCCCTGTCACCCTGGCTCATCTCTGCCTAATGTCTGGTCTCATCTCATTTATTCTCAAAGATGCATTGAGCACCTACTCCATGCTGAGGCTTCAGCGGTGAATAAAATACACAAGACCAATAAATCAAGACAGGCATATCTTTCTAAATGCGAGACCTATCTCCAATTTCAGATTGGAATTAGGGCTGTGAAGAAGATAAAACTGCGATTTTACCGAGTAGCTATTTGACACCGGGTGGGAAAGCCTTGAAGGACAAAAAAAGCTGGCCATGCAAAGGTCTGGGGTTCCAGGCAGACGGAACAGCACATGCAAAGGCCCTGGGGTGGATGGTTGGGAAACAGCAGTGGAAGCCAGAGTGGCTGGAGTGGTGCGAGCAGGGGGAGAGTGGTGAGAGGTGAGGTCTGAGAGGCTGACAGAGTCAGACCATGATTTGGGAGTAATTTGGATTTTATTCCAAGAATGATGGGAAGTTCTCTCTCTGTTTCTCTCGACCCCATTTCCAGGCACAAAGTCTACATTTTATGAACCTGGGGGCAGGTACTGTACAGATGGGGAATCTGAGGCTGCAGAGAACACAGACTGAGGGGGTCTGGGGGTGGGGGGATCTTAAAACTCCAAGCTGCATCGCGCCTGTAACCCTTCCCTGGAAAGTGCTTGGGTCGCTGTAAGTTTCTGTCCTGACAAAAAGGTCAGGGTTGAAACCCAGACCCTCCCCAGGCCTGGTCACGGCCCCTCCCTCTCTCTCTCAGCCTCTTGGTCTGGTCTTTGCAAAGCCGCGGCCCCACCCACCTCCTCCGCTGGAGTCAGCGTTCTGCGCACTCACCGCGCTGCTCCGTCCTGGGCCCGCCACTCACGTCTTATACGCCTACCCATTGGTCGGAAGCGCTTTTCTTCCCGCCCCCTCGGCGGGCCAATCACGCTTTCAGGACTGACAACCGGGGGCGGAGCAGCGGCTCTTGCGGATTGGCTGGGAGCGGGGGCCGAGCAGAGCTCAGAGCGCGCCGATTGCGCGGCTCGGCCAGAGTGGGCGGGACGAGGACGGCGAGGGGGTTGGGCCACGTGTCGCGATCCTGCCCAGCTGCGACCGCGGCTGGGAACCGGGTGGGAGGACTTGAGCGGCGGAAGTCCGGGCCCTGAAAGGTGAGTGACTCCAGGACTCACCTGCGGAGGGGCGGTGGGCCGGGCTCGAACCCCGTGCCTTCCGGGTCGGGCCCACCCGGGCGGTGCGCGGAGACCGACCTTCCCGCCTTGCCGGTGGGGAAACGGAGGCTCTGCCGGGACGTCCCGCGTCCAGGTCGCTGGGTTCTCACCCTACGTAGCTCTTCTATTGCACCGCACTTGTTCCTGACTCCACAACCTGTTACACACCGTCCAAACCTCCAGCGGGGGGGGACTCCCTCCCGGGCACGGCCCCCGCCTCTGCGGCCAATTCCACCTCGTCCCTGCGGGGTGTGGGGGGGTTGACCCCCATTGCTCTGCGGAGGAAACTCAGGCTCAGACAGAGCGTGAAACTTGCCCAAGGTGACCCATCAGGAAGTGCGCCCAGAAGGGCCGGGTGCCCCAGGCCTCGTGGGGATCTAAGCTGCCTGCCCCGCCCCCAGGTTACCGCCCACCCCGGCCGCCCCTCCTCCTCGGGTCTTGGGCACCCATCACTCCCCCAAGGCACCGCCAAAACCGTCTCCATCCCAGACCTCCCCACATTCACACACACCCCTCCTCCAATTTTTCCTCTTCTCCCCAAAACCACTTTCCCAGGCCAGGTCCCCAATTTAATCCCCAGGACCTGCCAGCCACAGACCAGAAAACGGGGGTCTTCCTCCTTTGCCTTCTCCACAGCCAGCCGCACCCGCCCCCTGGATCGCCCTGCCCTGCCCCCTCCCCTCTGTGCCCCGCTGCCTGAACTGGAGTCCAGCCTCACAGTGGCCGGACATACTTGATATGTTAAAGACTTTTTAAAAAAATTATTTATTGAGCCCTGGCCGGTTTGGCTTAGCGGTTGGAACGTTGGCCTGTGGACCAGAGAGTCCCGGGTTCGGTTCCCGCTAGGGGCACATACCAAAAAAAAAAAAAAAATTATTGATATTAGAGAGAGAGAGAAGTTAGAGGGAGAGAGAGACAGAAATATCGATGAGACAGAACATGATTGGCCACCTCCTGCACGCCCCCCACTGGGGATCAGGCCCACAACCTGGGCATGTGCCCTGACTGAAAATCGAACCGATGACCTCTTGGTGCATGGGTTGACGCTCAACCACTGAGCCACACCGGCCCTGCAGTGTTGAAGACTTTTAATGGAAGTATGCCATATTTGCAAGAAGATTCCCAAATCACAGACACACAGCTTAAATAACTTTGCACAAAGCGGATGCCCTGGTGTAGACATCCAAATTTAGAAGTCAAACATCCCCCCGCACCCCAGAAGCCCCCAACCCCTTGGTCACGGGTAAGTATAACCATCCATAACTTGAACGCCAGACGGGTTTTGCTGGGTTCTCACTCTATATAGGGCTCTTGTTGCACTGCATTTATTCCTGACTACACAGCCTGTTACACACTGTCCAAAATTCAAAAGGAACGGAATTGCACACAGTGAAAACCAGATCTGCACACTCTGTCCCGCAGTGACCTGTTCCCGCCGGAAGCCCCTGCTGCCTGCCTGCCTCCCAGAGCAAGTATAGATAGAAGCAGTGCACACACTTTTTTTCCCTTCTTTGTTGGGGAGGATAAATGGGAGCAAAATGAGAGCATTGCTATACACACTGTTCTGCTTTTTGTTCTTTCCTTTATCCAGTGTTAACCTCTTTTGAACACCTTTCCATATTGTTACTTAGAGAGTGTCCTTGTAATTTTTCTGGGCTGCAAAAATTTCCATGGTATGGATATACCATAACTTACATAACCAGTGCCCTAACCTTGGACGTTTAGATTCGCTCCGGGTGGAGGGAACTGCATGGGCAAAGGCCCTGAGGTGGACCATGGTCAGGAAAAGGCTGCAGTGGTCCCTGGCATGGGGAAGACAGTGAGACCAGGAAGTAGCAGGGTCAGCTTTGTCTTTCAAAAAGATTGTTTCCTTTCTCTGTTCACTTCCTACGGGAGAACTTTCCTGACCCTGCCACCCCAGATCAGGTTCCCTAGAAACCCCAGCACACACATGATGGTTGTAATTAGGTGATTAATTAACTTGATGTGGGAAACAAAAGTTTTGGAGGGCATTTTCATTCCACTGTATTTTATTGAGAAAAAACTCACATAGCAGTCTGTCTGGTGTGGCTCTGTGGTTGAGCATGGACCCATGCACCAGGAGGTCGCCGGTTCGATTCCCAGTCAGGGCACATGCCCAGGTTGTGGGCCAGATCCCCAGTGGGGGGCGTGCAGGAGGCAGCCAATGTTCTCTCTCATCAATGTTTCTCTCTCTCTCTCCCTCTCACTTCCTCTCTTTCTAAAAATCAATAAAGGGAAAAATTTTTTTAAAATTCACATAGCATAAAATTCGCCATTTCAGCCAAACACTGGTTTGTAAATTCTAGATGTGCCACACAGAGAACATCTCTGATGGCAGATGTGTTTGGTTGAAAGAATCACTGTAAACACCTACAGGCACTCATCACCCCGCTTGACCTTCCCCCCAAGGGTCAGCCAGGTTGGCCCAGCTGTCCGGCCCTCCACTCAGTCTGCAGGGTCTGCAGGTTCTCCCGCTTCCCAGGCAAACTGAGGAATAAACGGGTGAGCTCTCAGAAGAGCGGGGAGCTGCAAACAGAATCCCAGCCAGAACCCCATTTGTGCGCCAGCTCAGGGGACACAGGCCTCCAGGGGACACGGCTGGGCCATGTGAAGACCCAGGAACCCTGATGCCCTGCTGGGAGGCAGCCAGGCCTCTAGCCCCTGTGGGACCTCGGGCAAGTCACCCTCTGAGTCTCAGCGCCTCCCTGAAAGGGATGCTGGGCAGGCAACTCCACCAGCCCCACCTTGCTCTTTCTTTTTCTAATTATGGTAAAATACACAAATACACGGAGCATAAAAGTTGCCATTTTAAAGTGTACACATATGTGGCATTTGAGTACCTTCATGATGTGCAACAATTGTGCTATCTATTTCCAGAATGTTTTCATCTCCCCAAACACAACCTCTACCCATTAGGCAGTCACTGCTCAATCCCACTGCCCCGCCCCCAGCCCTGGACAACCACCCAGTCAGCCTGCTGTCTGTATGGATTTGACCACTGTGGCATGCGGCACACACAGCCTCCAACTGTGGCCTCAGGGAGTGGCTCTCACTGAGTGCTTGTTAAGGTCCGTCCCTAATGTGACACATGCCAGCGCCTCCTTCCCTTCCATGGCTGACCACTGTCCCCCGGACGGACGGCACACCAGCCTTTCCTTCCAAGTCCTGGAAGGGAGTTCAGCTGGCCGTTCACACTTGGGTAAACTGAGTTTCAGAGGCCAAGGGGGGAGCCTACTGGAAGGCTCCCAGAGCAGGCCCGTTCCACCCCCAGGCAGAGAGGAGGGAGGAGGCGCAGCCCAGGAGCACGAGGCCCTTTTCCCCTCAGAAGTCACATCCCGCTTCCTGTTACCAGCGGCGGCCCTTGGGCAGGTCACGGCCCTGCCCAGGCCTCAGTTTCCCCCTGGGGGTGCGGGGAGGGTCAGTGTTGGAGCCTGAGATGTGGTGGGATCTCGGGGATGGATAGGGTCAGAGGCGACCTCCCGGGAAAGTGGCCTCCTGGCTGAACAGGACACATTAGAAAGAGGTGTGCTCCAGACCTTGGACAGCCGGTGTGAAGCCTGCAGGTGGGAAGAAGGGGATTTGGAGGGCCCTCCAGGGTCTAGGTGCATGGACCCCGGACGTGCAGAGAAACCACACACACCTACACCTGGCCCCACCCTCCGCCCCTCTGCCCACCCTCAGGACATGGCAGCTGTAAAGCCCGGCCTGGGCCGAGTCCTCCCTGGATCGTCCATCCTTTTCCTGTGTGACATGCAGGAGAAGTTCCGCCACATCGCGTACTTCCCCCAGATTGTCTCTGTGGCCGCCCGCATGCTCAAGGTACAGGCCCCTCCACCCTCAGACCTGGGGTCTAGTTACCTCCTCTCTCAGACTGGGGTCCAGGCCCCTCCACCCTCAGACCAGGAGTCCAGCACCTTCTACCCTCAGACCAGGAGTCCAGCACCCTCCACCCTCAGACCGGGAGTCCAGGCCCCTCCACCCTCAGACCAGGAGTCCAGCATCCTCCACCCTCAGACCAGGAGTCCAGCATCCTCCACCCTCAGACCAGGAGTCCAGCATCCTCCACCCTCAGACCTGGAGTCCAGGCCCCTCCACCCTCAGACCAGGAGTCCAGCACCCTCCACCCTCAGACCGGGAGTCCAGGCCCCTCCACCCTCAGACCAGGAGTCCAGCATCCTCCACCCTCAGACCAGGAGTCCAGCATCCTCCACCCTCAGACCTGGAGTCCAGGCCCCTCCACCCTCAGACCTGGAGTCCAGGACCCTCCACCCTCAGACCTGGAGTCCAGGCCCCTCCACCCTCTGACCAGGAGTCCAGCACCCTCCACCCACAGACCAAGAGTCCAGGCCCCTCCACCCTCAGACCAGGAGTCCAGGCCCCTCCACCCTCAGACTGGGAGTCCAGCATCCTCCACCCTCAGACCGGGAGTCCAGGCCCCTCCACCCACAGACCAAGAGTCCAGGCCCCTCCACCCTCAGACCAGGAGTCCAGCCCCTCCACCCTCAGACCAGGAGTCCAGCATCCTCTACCCTTAGACCGGGAGTCCAGGCTCCCTCGGGCTCAGGCCTTTGTTCCCCCTCTCTGGCACAGGTGGCCCGGCTGCTGGAGGTGCCAGTCGTGCTGACAGAGCAGTACCCACAAGGCCTGGGCCCCACGGTGCCCGAGCTGGGGGCTGAGGGCCTGAAGCCCCTGCCCAAGACCTGCTTCAGCATGGTGCCTGTGGTGCGGAAGGAGCTGGATGCGCGCCCCCACCTGCACTCCGTGCTCCTCTGTGGCATCGAGACCCAGGCCTGCATCCTGGTGAGACCCCGACTGGCCCCTGGGGACCCCCACTCTCACCTGGGATCGCTCCATCCCAACAGGGACATCCTTTTCTCACTCAGAACCCTCTATCCTCCCAGCGTGACACACTTCCTGAAACAGGACCCCCCGCTAACCCTACCCCTAGCCCTACCTGGGGTGCCCATCCTGCCCTAGGATCCCATTGTGACCCGGGGGGCCTCCTGCCTCGATGTGAGCCACCTTTATTCCCATCGCAGCACCCCAGTCCCTCACCCTCACCAGGGACTCTGTTCTCACCTGGGCTTGTCCCTGACCTCTCTCTGTCCTCAGAACACGACCCTGGACCTCCTGGACCGGGGGCTGCAGGTCCACTTGGTGGTGGATGCCTGCTCCTCCCGCAGGTGAGAGGGTCCTGCAAGGGGTGGGTGCATGTGGGGTGTGGACGGGGCGCCCAGGGAGAACCAGGGGTCTGGGTATCAGGGCCACAGTGCGGACACCTCTCCCCCTGCAGCCAGGTGGACCGCCTGGTGGCACTAGCCCGGATGCGGCAGAGCGGCGCCTTCCTCTCCACCAGCGAAGGACTCATTCTGCAGCTTGTGGGTGATGCTGCGCACCCCCAGTTCAAGGAGGTACTGGTCCCCGATCCCTCACCTTCCATACACCTGACAAATGTCTTCTCAGCCCCCACCACGTCCGGGAACAGAGGGCTGCTGCCGCCTCCAGGGGGGCTGAGTTCTCACGGGGACACCCCGCTGTCAACTGTAAATCAATGAGAGGAGAAGCTGCTGGCCAGGCAGTGAGGCCTGGAGAGAGAAAGAGGCTGGGAGGGAGGGAGGGAGAGAAAATCAAGGAGGAGCATGTACAGGGTGGTCCAGGAAGCCTGGGAGAAGGTGACTTTGGAGTGAGATGAGGCCTGGAGGGAGCCAGGCAGACACCAGAAGGAACAGCCCAGCAGAGGGCCTGCAGATGGGGCCTCTGGACCTCTCCTCTGGTCTCTGGCACACAGGCCCAGCCAGCATCCATGCTCAGGGGCTCCCCCAGTACCCAGGCCTGGCCAGGTCGTTCCCACTGCTGCACACCATTGGCCTGCAGGATCACAGGACTTGCCTGAATTTGACATTCCTGGCCCTCTGAGCTCTGCCCTTTCCTCTTCTCTTAGTTATGTTGAGCCTTAATTAAGCACCTACTATGTGCCAGCCACTGTGGCAAGTCCTGAGGCAACAACAGCAAAAGCCAATCAATATTCCATTACACACTGTGGTCTGGGGCTGGGAAGGGCACCTTCAGAGTATGTAAGAAATAAGATAATAGCCCTGGCCGGTTTGGCTCAGCAGTTAGAGCGTTGGCCCATGGACCAGAGAGTCCCGGGTTCAGTTCCTGCTAGGGGCACGTACCAAAAAATAAAAAAAAAGAGAAATAATAAGCAGCAGGGAGGCCCCTCCCGAGGATAGCCTTGAAGTGGAGACCTGAAGGGGGAGGAACAGCCAGTCATCCAAAAAGAGTTCCTGGCAGAGGGACGAGCTGGGGCAGAGGCCTGGCAGTGGGACCCACGTGCTTCATTCCAGGAACTGGAACAAGGCACCGAGTTCTGAGTGAACGTGGAGGAGGGGAGGCAGAGAGGAGCCAGGCCTTTTCTTCCCCCAAAACTTGGAATTTTAGCGAGAGGCGGCCATGGAGGCTCATGCAGGGGAGCTGCAGTTGGGTAGGTGTCAGGATCCAGGGGTGCCAGAGCGGGTGCAGGCTCTGCTTACTTCTGTTTGTTTTCTGGAGGAGTTACGGGCTTGCGGATGGGTGCGACGTGGGGCGTTGGGAGAAGGCGGCCGGGCGGGGGCTCCAGGTGGTCCTCTGCAGAAGGGCTGCCCGCGAGTGTGAGAGGTCAAATGGAGACAGCCATCTAGGAGGCGGCAGCATAATGGGTCTGGAGTTGAGGGGCAAGGTGTGGGCTGGCTGTGGGAGTTGGGAGAGTTGAGATGACTTAAGAGGAAGAAAGCATAGACAGGAAGCCCCTCCATCAGTCTTTGTAGCCCAAGCCAGCAAAGCAGACAAAGATGGCAGGTGATCGGAAGCTAACTCGGGTGGGTATGATGAAAGGGAGGCCCCAGGACAAGTTTTGAGAAGAAGGAGTGGTTGGTTTGGCCATTTGCTGCCAAGAAGGCAAGGGAGATACAGAGAAGTGTCCCTCAGATCTGCCCTGGAAATGGGGTCCCTGGACACTTCCTGACACCCTCCTCCCTCTACAGATCCAGAAAATCATCAAGGAGCCCGCCCCGGACAGCGGGCTGCTCGGCCTCTTCCAAGGCCAGAACCCCCTCTTCCGCTGAACTCCCACTCTGCCTTGGGGAGAGACCTCCCTCCCTCCTGTCACCGTGGAAGCGCTTTTCCCCCATCCTTGGATCCCAAGAGTGGTGCAGTCCACCGGGAGTACCGCCCCCTCGGGAGGGGAGGCGGGTGCTGCCCTGCCATTGGGCAACAGCTCCCGGAAATGCAAATGAACTCCTGGAAACTGGATGACCGTTGGCTGAGCTGAGCTGGAGGCGGGGCTCGGCCCCGGGCCACTTCACGGGGTGGAAAAGGGAGGGGAAGGGAGTGTCACAGACTTGTGTGGGACCCGCACTCGCAGAATAAACATCGATGTGGCTGTGGACCGAACCATTCTTGGATTTGGGGGGTATCCCGGGGGCGACAGGGGCTGCGGGAGTGGGCAAGCGGGGTATCCAGCAGGTGGGGAGGGGGAGGTGCCTCTTCTCGGCTCCGAGCCGGCGCGAGGCAAAAGCGAGGGCTGGCCCTATCACATCTGCACCGAAAAGAGCTGCCGGCAGGGTCGCCCGCACGCTGCCGGCCGCCCCCCACCAGCGCGCGCACGCCCAGCCCAGCCGGCTGCAGACGCGCTCGCTCTGCCTCCCCCGGCCGGCCCCCCACGCCGCCGCCACCCCAGAATCCCCAAGGGTCCCGCATCCGGAAAGTGAGGTGAGCGGACCGCACCCGGCGCGGAGGGAGAAACTGAGGCACGGGGTCGTGGGAAAGGGAGGAAGGAAGAGACAGGCATGCGGATGAATGGTTGAACGGATGGGAAGGACAGACAGCATCTCAGGGGTCCCTGCGCCCCTAAGACGCGGGATTCAGGGGATCCACAGAGGGGCTCCCAGAATCTTGCAGCTCCCTTAGAAATCTGGGAGTCGGGACTCTACGGACCCCCCAACGTCAAGGCCTCTCAGCCCCTTGAGATTTGCAGTCCTTGTTCCCCACCCCACTCCTAACCTTGGGGACCTAAGGCAACCTCTGTGTCCCTCAAGAACCCAGGTGTCAGAGCTCACAGCCAGCCCACCCCCACTGGAGAATCAATCTCCATCCCTGGACCCCAGACCCTTTCCAGAAGGCTGGGACCCCGGCGTCAGAGCACCCAGTACCCCCTCTCCCCAAGGACCTAGGAGTCCAGTCTCCCTCCTCCAGGAGTCCCTGGGATCAGGCATCGGCGCCCCCGGCCCCCGCCTTCCGGATCCAGGTGTTCCCCCCTCCTCAGCCTGAAGCTTCGCGTCTCGGAGGCCGCGCTCGCGTCGCCATGGCAACAGGAGTCTATTTTGCGCTGGGAACACACAGCTTCAGCCGCAGCGCCCCCCCACCCCGCCCCTCTAAACCCGGCCGAGAGAGAGTAGGGGGACCAGGAGGGAGACAGGTGGTCCGCAGTGGGGGGGGGGGGCAGAGACACTCAGAGGAGCAGAGATTTGTAGACAGCAAACCTGGGAAAGAGACACAGAGACAGGAGAGAGAGACAGAGACAGAGGGCGAGGGGAAGGGGAAATGCTGGCACACGGAAAACAGACTCAGAGAAGGGGTCAGCGAGAGAGGGAGCCCAGGGGCAGAGACGCAGAGACGCAGAGATGCGAGGTCTAGACACCCACCGGCAAGGAGAGACCAAGACCCAGGACACATCCCGTTAGAGACGAGAGACCCGCCCTGGGAGGAGGGATGGACAAGGAGGCACAAGCGACAGGAAGGCCTAGGGACCTGGGGGGCCGGGGAGGGGGACCGCAGGGACCCGGTCTGGGCCCGCCACCTGAATGCCACCTGAATGCGTCGAGGGAGAGTTCACGTCTCTCCCTAAGTCTCCGCCTCCCTGGCGGCGAGGGGCGTTTTGGGGTGGGGGAAATGGGAGGAGCAACACCGGATCCCCCACCTTGCCGCCCCCACCCGGACCCCTTACTTTCTCCCTCCACTTTTCCCCACCTGCTGGTCCGCCTCCTCTTGAACCCAGATCCCTGCCTCCTCTTCCTCGCTTTCTACATCCTAGCCCCAAACCGACCCTCACCCCTCCCTTTGCATTCGGACCCCGTGAGCTTGGCCCAGCCCGTGAGCTTGGCCCAGTCCTCCACCGCCTCTTCCTCAGGGCCCACCACGACCCTCAGTTTCCGTCCACCTCCGCCTGCGGACTCCCCTCCAGCCCCCAGCTTCCCAGAGCCAGGACTTCTGCCTCTTTTTCTGGGTCTCTATCACCCTCTGGGCGTCTGCCCCCTCCCAAGGTTCCCTCTCCCTGTCCTCCCCAGGTTCTGCGGCATCTCTCCCAATCTCCACTGCCTCCAGGCTCCTCAGGCCCCACGGAGCCCTGGCTCCCACCTCCAGCTGGCAGGGTCAGGGGAGGGGTGGGGGCCAGAGGGTGGGGCAAAGTGCTGTGCAGGGTGCCAGGTAGGGGGAGGGGTTCTCCAGGAGCGCAGGGAGCCAGTGGGGCCTGCTGGGGAACCCCTCCTTCAGCTTAGCTGGCTCTCCTGATCTCTGTCCACCCATATGTGCGTGTGTCTTAGGTCTTGTTAGGGTTGAAGCGGTTTGGGGCACAGCCGGACCTCTGGCCTGGATCCGCTGGGCAAGCAAAGTGCAGAGGGAGGAGATTGGGTCCCAGAGGCCCCCTTCTTCTCCACCTGTGGAGGAAAAAAGTGTCGCTGTATGAGTGAATGGGGGTGGGGGAAGGGGTGGCGGCAGGGGTGGGGCTCTGTGTGGGGGGTTGTCACATGCCTGCTTCCAGAATCTCCACCACTGGGTGAGGATGTGTTTGCACACGTGTGTGTGTGCACCCACAAGGTTGCATGACTGGGGCTGTGATATGTGCAGTCGCGTGTCCATCTGTGTGTAGCTGGTTTGAGCAAGTTCTTACCTGTGTGCATGAGCTGTGTGTGGTCCCAGAGTGTCACGATGTCTATTATATGCTGTAGGCTGAAACACGCAGACATGCATGGCTGTGTGTCCACGTGGAGTTGGGTATTGCGAGGAGGTTCCAGGTGGGCCATCGGGATGACACATGGGGTGTCCTTGAATGTTGCGCCTGGGACACTGTGTGGGTGCCCCATACTTTGTGTTGTTGTGTATATAAGTTCTGTTGTGTGACCAAAGGGGTCAACTTGTTCCCCTGTATCCTTGTGTCTGGACAGGCCACGTGTCCCTAGGTGTGGGTCCCCTTCCCACCAGTGGGTGCTGCCCTGCACTGCCCTGGGAGGTGAGGCTGGAGCAGGAGGAGGTGTGTGTGTGTGTGTGTGTGTGTGTGTGTGATGTGTCTGAGTGTGTTGCTGGCTTCGAGGGGATGTGTTACTGCTCTACCCCCCACCCCCAGAGTCGTCAGTGGCCTGGAGTTGTGTCTCCCTGGGTGTGTGCACCTGTGTGCAGTCAGAGAAGACAATGGGACTCTCAGGAGGAGGAGAATTTGTCCATGGAGCCAGGGGAGACTTGGCACAGAATGGGGGTTGAGCAGGCACAACGCTAGCCCACACAGCAGCCTTTGTACAGGTGAGGTAAAGGTGCCCTTGGCCCTAGGTGGCCTCCCAGTGTCTATGGTTTGGCTGGCAGATGGCACTTTTGTGTGAGTCTGAAAAAGACTTCCCACAGATGGATGCAACCCAGCCGGCCCACCTTAGAGAGGAAAGCCCCTCTTGGTTCCAGCCAGACCCCCTTGTGCGGTGCCCAGCCTGCCAGCCCTATGTGGCAGCCATCAGTGAATAAAGGGACCCACACTGCTGTGTGCATGTGGCACTGTTGGAAGGGGTGTCTGCGTGCGTGTGAACCGTTGCTCTGTGTGTGATTCGGGCATCCACGTTCTGTGGGTGATGGTACCCTGGGACCTGAGTTCAGGGCCCGCTCCACTGCTTGGGCACTGTGGGGCTCAGGCAAATCAGGGGACCTGTTGAAACTTTGGTGCCCACATTTGAAGTGAGTATGTGTGTGTGTGTGAGAGAGAGAGAGAGAGACAGACAGACGAACACACAGATACACAGACACACTGAGGCAGACAGACACACTGAGGCTTGAAATCCCTTGACTGTTAGATCTGGATACAGGAAAGAAGTAAGTGTTTGGGGGGACTGAAGAACATAGGGATCTAAGCCAGTGGTTCTCAACAAGAGCAACAACGGTGCCCCTGGTGACATTTGGCAATGCCAGCAGGCATTTTATGCTGTCAGGATGTGTGGGAATTCGAATGCTCCTGGTGTGTACTGGATGCTGCTAAACACTGGTCCCCAAAAGTCAGCAGCGCCGAGCTTGAGAACCCTGCAATCCTCCTTCCCACCTGCCTGGCCTACAAACTCAAATTCTCAACTTCAATCTCTCTCTCCTCCCCCCACCCACACCTTCTTCTCCTGTCTTCCTGCATTCCCTCCCTCTATTCCCTCTGACCCCTCCCGAACTCCTCTCTCCGTGTCCCCAACCCTCCCCTCTCAATCCCCCCATCCTCCTTCCTCTCTCTCACCCCATCTGGCCTCTTACTCTCCATCACCCACTTCCACGATTCCTTCTCCATCACATCGGTTTTTGTCCACCCATCTGACATCTCATTCCCAATCTTTTCTCCCATCCATCACTTCCGTTGATCCTTTCCATCCATCGTTACCATTTATCATTCTGTTCTCCTCCGGCCTGGTCTGGGTATGTCTCCGTTGTTCCCCTTCCTCCACTGCCGGGTGAAACCACCAATACTGGACCCGTGCGTCTCCTCTCCACTCATCCTTTCCGTCTCCATCCGTCTATCTTCCCTCGCCTCCCTTCCTCATCCTCTCTGGCCACGCATCTCCATATTTCCCCACCTGTGGACATCTTTCACCCGCCCTCCGCTCCAGCCTCGGTTCTCCGCTCAGCCTGGCGGCCCCGTTGGACCTCCTGCACCACCCATGCCGGCCCTCCTGCTCCTCGGGACCCTCCTGCTCCTGGCTTCGACCGCTGACCAGGCCAGGGCGCGCCCGTCCAACGCCACGAGCGCGGAGCCCCCGGGTCCGCTGCCCGCCCTGCTGGCGCACCTGCGGCGCCTGACCGGGGCTCTGACGGGAGGCGGGGGCGCGGCGGGTCCCGGCGTCAACGGCACGCGGACCAGCCCCGCGAGCGGGACGGGCGCAGCGGCGCGGGCGCCCCCTCCGGCAGAGCTCTGCCACGGCTACTACGATGTCATGGGCCAGTACGATGCCACCTTCAACTGCAGCACGGGCTCCTACCGCTTCTGCTGCGGCACCTGCCACTATCGCTTCTGCTGCGAGCACCGCCACATGCGTCTGGCGCAGGCCTCCTGCTCCAACTACGACACGCCGCGCTGGGCCACCACGCCGCCGCCACTGGCCGGGGGCGCTGGTGGCGCCGGGGGTGCGGGCGGGGGGCCCGGACCCGGCCAGGCCGGGTGGCTGGAAGGGGGCCGGGCAGGGGGCAACGGGGTGCGTGGGGGCGAGGGCCCCGGGGGCAGCACGGCCTACGTAGTGTGCGGGGTCATCAGCTTCGCCCTGGCCGTAGGCGTCGGAGCCAAAGTGGCCTTCAGCAAGGCGTCCCGTGCGCCCAGGGCGCACCGGGATATCAACGTGCCCAGGTGTGTGCGCGCTGGGGCAGGAGGGTAGGGAGCCTGGGGGCGGGGCCTGGGCAACGGAAGGTGGAGCCGTCGGGGGCGGGACTACAGGGGTGGGGGCGTGGTCAGAGACCAAGGAGGCAGCAAACGAATGCCTGGCTGTGGAGTGTCAGAGAGGCTCACGCCTCATGCATTCAGCAAATACTTCTTGAGCACTTTCTGTGGGCCAGGAGCTGGGGATCCGGGGGTGAACAAAACAAGGTCCTTCCCCTGATGGGCAAGCCTGGCTTCCCATCCCAGGTCTACTGCCTGTGACCTGTGCGACCCCGGGCAATTGTGCCTCTGTTTCCTCGTCTGCACAATGGGGCTAATAAATGTTCCCCGCCCATTCGGACTGTAATGAAGATTAAGTGGGTTGATTCATGTTGAGTCCTGGCACACGGTAAGCCCTCAATAAAGGTTGGCCAGCATTATCATAAAAGTTAGTGGCCCAGACAGTAAGCAAGCAGACAAATATGCAATATACTTTTGGAGACTGACAACTGTGAGGAAAATTAAGCAGCATAAGGAATTGAGGGGGGTGTTGTTTTATATGAAGTGGCCAGGAAAGGCCTCTCTGAGCAGACTTGGAGGAAAGGAGCAAACCAAGCAGGTATCTGTGGGAATGGCATTTCAGACAGAGGAAACAGTATGTGCAAAGGCCCTGAGGTGACTTGTTTGCAGGACCGCGAAGGAGCCAATACAGCTGGAGAGCAGTGCCAAGGAGGAGGTGGACAGAGGCAGCAGGGACCAGGTTTATTCCAGGGTGATGGGGGAGCCACCGGAGGGGCCTGCGCTCAGCCTGCGCGGCGGCGAGACAAGGCTGCAAGGGGCAGGGGCAGAAGCAGGAGACTGGTTAGGTCACTGTGGCAATGATCCAGCTGAGAGGTAGTGCTGGTAGCAGCGGGGGTGCTGAGAAGCAGTCGACTTGCGGTGTATTTTGGAGGTCGAATCCGCAAGCTTGCTGAGGAACATGAGGGAAAGAAAAAGAGAAGCCAAGGGTGATTCTAAGATTGGGGGTCTGCGTAACTGGGTAAATGGGGAACCCTTTATCCCCATTGGAAAGGCGACAAAGAAACAGGATTAAGCTTCCAAGTCGGGGTGGGCAGGGACACTTCAAGCAGGAAGTGTGACCCCAGGAACCTTTGGGCGGACAGTGCTCAGATTGCCATTAGCGAGGGGCGTGGCCAAAGGCAGAAGCCCAGCCAAGCTGAGTTGACAGATTACCCCAAAATTGAGAATAGGGAGGGGAAAGAAGCCTGGGTCCTCCCTCCCCTATTCCCGGTCCTCAGGCCACTGACCATCCCTCTGCCACCTCTAGGGCTCTGGTGGACATTCTGAGGCATCAGGCGGGACCCGGGACCCGCCCGGACCGGGCACGAAGCAGCTCCTTGACCCCAGGGATCGGGGGTCCTGACAGTATGGCCCCGAGGACACCCAAGAACCTCTACAACTCTATGAAGCCCTCCAATCTCGGTGAGTGGCACCTGAGAGCTGCGGCAGTGGCCTGTGACCACGCCCCCATCCCAGTAGCCCCACCCTCTTCAGGTGGCCCCACCTCTGGCTGCTCAGGCCCCACCCCCAACCTCAGCCTTCCCGCCTCCGCAGTGAGCGAGAGCCCCCTCCCTGCCTCCCGTGGACACCCTGAGTGGGCGCCATGGACGGCAGGGTGACTTAGATTTAGCCCCTGCGCTTGACAAATTCCGAGTCAGACCACCCAACAGCCAAGGACACACCAGGACGCGCCTGTTGAAGTAGAACTTGTCGGGGGCCAGATTGCTGGGTTTGGCATCCTGGCTCTGCTTCTGTGTGACCTGGGGCAAGCCCGCGTCCTCACCCATAATATGAGAAGCAGCCCGTGCCCCCGATAGGGCTGTTGTCAAGATCCGGTGAACAAGCGAGTCTGGTGCTCAGAGCCGTGCCTGGCCCAGAAAACGTGCTGTGTACCTGCGAGCTGTTGTTATTCTTGTATTTCATGGTGAGTGCGTCCAGAAGTCAGGGAGCTGGAGCAGGCTGCAAGGGTCTCCTCTGGTTGGAGGAGGAAGGCTCCCCCAGGAAATACAGCCTGAGCAGTGGTCTGGAGGGTGAGGGGCGTTACTTGGGCTGAGGGAGCTCTGGCTGGCGTGGAGCTTGTCAGGCTGGGGAGAGAGTGAGCAGACACCCGAGGAAGGGCCTTGAATGCCACACCGAGCTGAGGAGCTCTATCTTTGCCCTGAGGGCGATGGGGAGCCACAGAGGAGTTTAGAGCAAAGTCAGAAGTAGGCAGGAAAGCTATTCTACGTGAAGGGGAGAGGCTGGGATGATGGTCCAGGCTGTAAAGGACAGGCCTGAGCTGGGTTTGAGTAGTAGTAATAAGAAACATTTGAGATGGATCTTGAGGGATGAGTAGGAGTTCTTCAGACAAAGATGGAGAGGCAGGGATTTGTGGTAGCGAGAACAGCATGTGCAAAGGTCCTGTGGTGGGACTGAGCTGGGCTCAGTCAGGTGCCAGAGAGAAATGTGGCTTGAGAGGAGGGGTGGGAGATGAGACTGCAGACGTCAGCTTGGGCCAAGTCACGCAGGCCTCAAATGCTGTTGCCGGCTTAGCCTGTGCCCAGTGCGTTATGAAGACACCGGAACAGTGTTGAGCAGCCGAGGGGCAGATGTGGATGTAGGAGCTCCGCGGTGGGGCAGACCTTGGACATGGCTGGCCAATGGCCAAACGGCTGGTTTGATGACCCAGCAGAGAGAGGCAGGTCAGGGCTGAGATTCAGGAGGCAGGTGGGACCAGAGCTGGGGACCAGGTGGATGTGAGTGGGGAGCCTTCCATGAGACCAGGACAGTGGCACCAGCCGACAGCGAGCAATGATGGTGATGCCACCTCCCTTCTTGGTCCCCACAGATAACCTGCACCACAACTACCTGCACCTCAACATCAACAGCCCCAAGCACCATGCCACCACGCTTGGTACGAACCAGGGCTGGGCTGGGGACAACAGGGCTCCTTTCCTTCCCTTGACTGCACACGAGCTGGGTGCTGGGACAGAGCAGGTGTGAGACCCTGGGAGCCTGTCCTCACAGTCCAGCCAGGTGACGGAATGAACCTCAGTTTCCCCATTTGGACACCAGAAGTGGTCAGCTCTCTCCCACCCATGTTGGTAGGGAGATGCAGAAGCCTACCCCCCAGTCTGGGGCAGGGCACCCAGTGGGTGCTGAGCAAGGGCCAGTTGCTCTTCCTCCTGTGACATGTCCTCTTTGCCAGCAAAGAGCCTGTCTCACGATGTGAGGGGAGCAGAGGCAGCCTGAACGGCGGGAGCTTTGAGGGACTGGAATCCCAGATTTATACTTCTAAGGGGCTGGGGGCCTGGACTCCTGGGTCTGAGGGAGGAGGGCTGGGGGCCTGGACTCCTGGTCTGAGGGAGGAGGGGCTGGGGGCCTGGACTCCTGGGTCTGAGGGAGGAGGGGCTGGGGGCCTGGACTCCTGGGTCTGAGGGAGGAGGGGCTGGGGGCCTGGACTCCTGGGTCTGAGGGAGGAGGCTGGGGGCCTGGACTCCTGGGTCTGAGGGAGGAGGGCTGGGGGCCCGGACTCCTGGGTCTGAGGGAGGAGGGGCTAGGAGCCGGGACTCCTGGGTCTGAGGGAGGAGGGGCTGGGGACCCGGACTCCTGGGTCTGGGGGAGGAGGGCGGGGGGCCCGGACTCCTGGGTCTGAGGGAGGAGGGGCTGGAGGCCAGGACTCCTTGGCTCTCAGGGAGGAGGGGCTGGGGGCCTGGACTCCGGGGTCGGAGGGAGGAGGGGCTGGACTGACCCCAGCTGTGCTCTCTGCCCCAGACTGGAGGGCCGCCCCACCACCCAGCCCCTCCTTGCATTACTCTACACTGTCCTGCTCTCGGTCTTTCCACAACCTCTCGCACCTGCCCCCGTCCTACGAGGCCGCTGTGAAATCCGAACTCAACCGCTACTCCTCCCTCAAGAGGCTGGGTGAGTCCCCGGAAGGGCAGCAGCCGAAACCATGGGGCGGGGTCCCGGCCAGGGCCTGGGTTCAGGACCGTGGACAGTGGCCCAACAGACCTCTGTCGGTTTAGAGCCTCCCCCAGGTTCTTCTCCAAGTTTGTCCCAGAATTACCTGCAGTAGTTTTGTATCAGAATTACCTGGGGTGCTTTTATAAATGCTAATTCATGGTTCTCTTCCACATACACACACACATACCATCTACTGTATTTATCAGGACTTGCATTTGCAGTGAATAGAAATATGACTTTAAGCACACACACACACACACACACAGAGGTAACTAAGTGGGCTTGGCAATGGGAAGGCTATGGGTCACGGGCTTCAGGTGTGGCTGGATCCAGGTGCTCAAAAGCTGTCTATCAAAAGGGGATTCTACATCTCTCAGCTCTGCTAAGCATTGGGCTGGCTTCATTTTCAGACAGATAGTTCCCCTCATGGTGGTAAAGAGTGGCCTGAGAATTTCAGGCGGCCATTCAACCAGCAGAAAAGAGTCTCTCCCAATGACGCCAGCAACAATTCCAGGCCTGGGTCTCATCAGCCCAAACAATGTCACATACTCATCCCTGAACCAATCGTTGTGACTCTGATGGGACATTTCTGGCTCAGTGGCCCATCCCTAGCAGTGGAGCATCCTTCAAAAAGTTTTAACTGTGAGCTAAATAAGAAATACTTTTTAGCCCTGGCCAGTTTGGATCAGCAGTTAGAGCGTCAGCCCGCAGACCAGAGAGTCCCAGGTTCGGTTCCCGCTAAGGGCATGTATCTCGGTTGCAGTTTGTCCCCGGCCCCGGTTGGAGTCGTGTGAGTGGCAGCCACTGGATGTGTCTCTCTCACATCGATGTTTCTCTCTCTCTCTTCCTCCCTCTCTCCCTCCCACTCTATCTGAACAAAAACATGGAAAAATGTCCTTGGGTGAGGATAACAAAAAAAAAAAAAAAAAAAAAGAAAATATATGTTTTTATTGATTTTTGTTTTTTTGAGAGAGAGAGGGGAAGGCAGAGAGAGAGATAGAAACATCGATGTGAGAGAGACACATCAATTGATTGGCTGTCTCCTGCACGACCCCCAATAGGGATGGAGCGGGAAACCCAGGCACGTGCCCTGACCAGGAATTGAACTGGGACCTCTCAGTCCGCGGGACGATGCTCAATCCACTGAGCCACACTGGCTGGGCTTGGTGGATTATTTTAAAACAACTCTCAGGAATTATGTCACTTTATCCATTCATATATCAATAACACACACATAAGTGAAAAAAAATGTATGAGCCGGTACTCACCCTCATTCTCTTATTATGGGGAAGAGAATTTTCTATTCTCTTTCATTTTTCAAAATGCCAGTCACTACCTATAAAATTGACTTCACCACCCCCCTATGGGTCACATCCCCAAGACTGAAGAACAGGATGCAAGGGAGGGGGAAATGCTTCCTCAAAAGCAAACGTTGGGTTCTACTCCCAAAAGAACTACTCTGAGGCGCAAAAAGAAAAAAAAAAAAGTCCCCACATCTACCTGCCCAGCGTGGCAGGAGGGGCCTGGGAGTCTGTATTTTGGCCACATTGCTAGTCTGATGTTCTGATTCAATTGTGCCCCTGCCCAGGCTAATGACCCGGGTGTTCTGGGCGATGCTGGGGGTCCCCGTGGGGGCGCAGGCCCAGCGCGCAGGGCGGGGCGGGATGTAGGGAAGTCAGGAGCGAGGGTAGGTTCTGGGCTGGCTGGGACGGACCCTGCGCCTCCTCCCCTTCTCTCCAGCCGAGAAGGACCTGGACGAGGCCTACCTGAAGCACTGGCACCTGGGGGAGGTGCCCCGCGGGACGCTGCCCCTGCATACGTTGCGGCGACCGGGCACCGGGGGCGGCTACCGCATGGACGGCTGGGGCAGCCCGGAAGAGCTGGGCCTGGCGCCCGCGCCCAACCCCCGGCGGGTCATGTCCCAGGAGCACCTGCTGGGCAACGGGGGCCGGTCGCGCTACGAGTTCACGCTGCCTCGCGCGCGCCTGGTGTCGCAGGAGCACCTGCTCCTGTCGTCACCCGAGGCCTTGCGCCAGAGCCGCGAGCACCTGCTGTCGCCCCCGCGCAGCCCCGCGCTGCCGCCAGAGCCCACCTCCCGCGCGGGCCTGGCCGCCTCCCACTCTAACCTGCTGCTGGGGCCCGGGGGGCCCCCCACGCCGCTGCACGGGCTGCCCCCGCCGCCCGGCCTGCACGCGCACCACCACCACGGCCTGCACGGCTCTCCGCAGCCCGCCTGGATGGCGGACGCCGGCGGAGGCGGGGGCACGCTGGCCCGCAGGCCGCCCTTCCAGCGCCAGGGCACGCTGGAGCAGCTGCAGTTCATCCCTGGCCATCACCTGCCCCAGCACTTGCGCACCGCCAGCAAGAACGAGGTGACTGTCTGAGGCCAGGCCGGGGGCTGCAGGGCTTCGGCCTGGCGGCCCCGTCTCAGCTTGCATCCCTCAACTCCAGGGGCCTGGGACCCAGATTGGCCCGTGGCCTGGGGTGGGGGTGGGGGGGCTGCCTCTGAGGACACTGCTTTGAATGAAATCGTCACAGGAGACTAGGCCTCCTGCTAGAATGTCACAGCAGATAAGATCTCTCCTCATACGTCACTGTTTGAGGCCAGGCTCCTTCCCATGACGTCATCACAGAGGAAGAGGCCTGCCTGTGAGGTTATCACTAGCAACAATGTTAACAAAGGGACCAAACCTTCCCCTGAGGTCATCACTAGAGGCCATGTTCCATGAGGTCATCACAAAGACTTCCTTCTTGTGATGTCAAAGCAGAGACAATGCCTTGTCCTATGACATCATCCCTAGAGACAACAATTCCTTCCTGTGATGTCACTGCAGAGACAAGTCTCACCCTTATAACATCATCTCTGGCACCAAAAGGCCTCTTTTGACATCATCATCATCAGACAAATATTTTCCTCCAGAGAAGATGCCTCTGTCTATGATGTCATCACTACAGACAAAGCCATCTTGCTGGGACACACTGCAGGAGAAAACCTCACCAAGCGTGTTGTCACTAGACACAAGGCCTCCTGTCCACAGCACCATCACAGGGACTCCACCTCCTTCCTGTGATGCCATCACCAGAGAAGGTGCCTTGCCCTATGATATCATCAGAGGGACTGTGCCTCTTCCGGGGGGCTGTGATGTCACTTCCAGACCCCGCCTGCTTTGAGAGGACACTGTGAGAAACCTCACTGCTGCCCCATCACAAGGGGGCATGGCAGGCCCAGAGTCCCTGAGAAAGTGCCCTGTCCTGAGATGGCCCCTGAGGGATGTCATCACTGGGGAGGCTGCCCCCATCCAGAAGGGTCTCCTCAGAGGTGATGGTCTGTCTATAGGTTGGTTGCAGTGAGGACCCCCCGCTCCCGTCTGAGGCTCCGCCCCAATGCTATGATGTCATCACTAGAGACACTGCCTGCTCTGAGGGGCCATCACTTGTGCTGGTGTCACCAGTTTCTGCCTTGTCCCCTCATGACTTCACATGGTCACTCCTCCCCTGACCCCAGGGACATGTGCTGTCGGATCTCCACCCGACGCTCCCTCTGAAGGGAGGTTGGGCCTTGGGTCCCACCCTTGTGCGGTGATGTCACCTCCTGTGTGGTTCCCAGAGGGCAGTGCTCCCAGACTGGCTTCTTTTCTCAAGGAGGCTCTTCTGGCCCACCAGGCTCTCAGAGTCCTGAGACTCGATGGTGTTTCAAGGGCAGGTGCCACTTCTCTCTGCCATAATTAGAGACATCATTGCCTCTGTCAACAAAGTCCTGGCCTCCTGCTGGGGTCAGGGAGGGTGGGGTCTGCCTGCTATTGATCTTGCTGATGACATCATCAGCACCACAAGACTTCCACTGCTCATGATAGCTTTGCACCTGGAGTCAAATGCTAACCATGCTTGATGATAACATCATTTCCCTGTGACCTATGGTATCTTCATCTCCCAGGATCCACCACAACTACGGTACCATCCTCTTCCAGGATTTATCACAACCATATAGGGTCACCTTCTCCCAAGCTTCCCCATAGCCAATGGTGTCACCATCTTCCACAATTCTCCATAACCATGGTGTCTTCATATCTCAGGATCCACCACAACCACTGTATCATCCTTTAGAACCCACCATATGTAAGGGTGTCATCATCTCCAAGAATTCACCATGACCAATGATGTCATTACCTCCCAAAATCCACTGTGGTTGATGGTAACATCCTCTACCAAGATCCACTAGGACTAATGATGCCACCATTTCCCCTAATCCCCATGACTGTGGTATCATCAACTTGCAAGATCCACTTCAACCATAATGTCTCCCTGCCCCAGGACCCACCCTAGCCATGGTGTCATCACTCCCAGGACACACTTCAGACAAGGTGTCACCCCCACAGCATCCATGAGACTCAGTGGTGTCCCAGGACCCATGACACCCAATAGTATCATCACCTCCCAGGATCCATTTCAACCATGGTATCATCATCTACTGGGATCCACCACATCCATGACATCATCTTCCAGGACCCCTGACACCCAATAGTATCATCACCTCCCAGGATCCATTTCAACCATGGTATCATCATCTACTGGGATTCACCACATCCATGACATCATCTTCCAGGACCCATGACCCAATAGTATCATCATCTCCCAGGATCCAGGACATCCAATAGTGTCATTACTTCCAAGGATCCATTTCAACCACGGTGTGTCATCATCTGCAGGAGTACACCATATCCATGACACCATTTCCCAGGATCCATGGCACCCAACAGTGTCATCACCTCCTAGGACCCATGACACCCAATAGTATCATCACCTCCCAGGATCCATTTCAACCATGGTATCATCATCTACTGGGATCCACCACAACCATGACATCATCATCTCCCAGGATCCAGGACATCCAATAGTGTCATTACTTCCCAGGATCCATTTCAACCACAGTGTCATCATCTGCAGGAATACACCACATCCATGACATCATCTTCCAGGATCCATGACACCCAATAGTATCATCACCTCCCAGGATCCATTTCAACCATGGATTCATCATTTCAACCACGGTGTCCTCATCTACTGGGATCCACCACAACCATGACATCATCATCTCCCAGGATCCAGGACATCCAATGGTGTCATCATTTACCAGGATCCACGTCAGCCATGTACAATCTTCCAGGGTCCATCATCTTGAGAGCCAAGTACTATGACAGCTGTATTTCAATTGTCTTCTGGGGTCACGTGGCACCTACAGTTGTTCCCTTAAGGGAACCCAGCACAATACATACCATTTTCCCATTGCCTCAAAAATGGAGTAGAGGCCCCCTCTGATGACACCATCCCTACTCTGGTCCTTCTTGATGATGTCATTGCCTCCCTCCAGACTTAGGCTGATGCCTGCATCAACCCCCCCCCAGACTTGGCCTTGGCCAGCCCCCCTACAACCCCTCTGGTGAGGACATCCAGGCCCCTCCTGATAACTCACTGCCCTTCACCCAACTATCTGATTGGTGACAGGGTCAACATGGAGGCCTCTTATCATCACCAGAGTGGCGGCGGGGGTGGGGTGGGGTGGGGGTGTGTGTTTCCAATCCTTGGGTAATGTCACTGCCCATTGCCTAATCCCTCTTACCTGGACCTCCACCTGCAGCAGCACTCCACTGGCTTGGGCCAAATTCTCCTCAGAGACTCCTGTGGGCTGGGCCCGCCAGCTGCTAATTTCCCTGGGGCCTTCACTCATGTCCTCTGCTGGTCTGGTCCTGGGGCAGGCACAGCTGGACAGCCACGCCACGGCCAGCACCATATGTGGGGGGCTCTGCATCATCCCAACGATCAGAGAGGCAGCATTCTCCCTTTCATTCCCCCTGCACACACCGGGGAGCCCCCAGGGCTTTCGGGGATTCACCAACATCCAATTTTTCTTTGTACATAGCCATGCTGGGGGTGGGGGCGGCCATTCCCCCAGTCTTAAAGGGCTACACATCCCCTCCCCTAGCCCCCAGGGTGAGGTGGGGCCCTCTTTTCTCACCTCTGGGTTGTTCCCTCCTCCTTCTTCCGTTTCCCCTTGCCCTGAATACTGGCGCCTCCGTTCATCTCTCCTCAGCCTTTGGCTCCCACAAACACTGGCGGAATGTGGGGAAGGGGTACCCCCGTCTACCTAGCCCAGCGCTGGTTTTCAACGCCATGCTCAGTGGCCCTGGAGCAGACTGTGACTTCCTCCTAAAAGAGCCAGCTTAAGCACCTGCCCCTCCCAGACCCTGCCCCTCCGCTCACCGTCTCCACAAAGCGCTCAGCTTTCTCCAGCCCCCCGAATTGGGGGGCTCCAGGCCCTTCCGCTTTTGTATGCCCCCCTCAACTTGCTCTCTCTTGGCCTGGACTCCAGGTATTTTGCCCCAACCCTGGGGCCTTGGCCTCTTATCTCAAATAAGCCATAGTGAGGAGAGGTCCTGAGGAGGTGAGGAAGTGGGCATGTCCTGCCAAATTCCCTGGATGCTCTGGAGCCGGACCTCGCCTTGAGTCTTCCTTCTCCCCCCCATACACACACACACACACACACACACACCTGCCCTTCCGATTGTGGGCAATGGGGGGATGGTGCAGAGACAGGAAGATAGTTCTGGACTGGAAGACCCTCCCCAGCTCTGCCTCCCTCCTTATCCCCCTAACCCAACACCAGACTCTCCCCCCGGTTCCTTGGTGGGGTCAGCCAGCCGAGCTGCCAGTGGGTATTTTTGGAATAAACAGATGTTTTCCTGACTCTAAGGCTCAAAGTCACTGCTGGGAGGGGACGGGTTTCCATGTGTGTGTTGACGGGTCACTGGGCATTCCCCAGGTGGCCAAGGTAAAGGGTGGGCATCCAAATGTCCTCACCGGTGGTCAGGGCTGCCTCCCTGCATACTCGGCAAGTGAGGAGTCGGGCATGGGGGCATGGAAGGTGTCTGCAGGTCCTCATTTCTTCCTAAGAAAGCCCCCTCCCTGAGCACTTTGGCACCTCCTTATATCTGAATCTTCTGGCTGAATATCAGTGGGGGGCTGTAACAGTTTTCTGGGGCTGCTGACACAGTGTACCGCACACGGGGCGGCTTAAGCACAGAGAAGTGTTGCCCGGTTCTGGAGGCTGGAGGTCCAAGATGGTGGTGTCACAGGGCTGATCCCTCTGGGCTGAAAATCTGTTCCCTGCCTTTCTTGCCTGCTTCTGGTGGCAGTGGCTGGCATTCATCATCTTTGTCTATATCTGTCTCTGTGCCTAAATTTCCATTGTTTTGTTTTGTTTTGTTTTGAATCCTCATCAGAGAACATTTTCATTGATTTTGAGAGAGAGAGAGAGAGGAATGTAAGAGAGAAACCTTGATCAGTTGCCTCTCCGACGTGTCCCTACCCGGGCCAAGGATCGAACCTG